GCTTAAGAATTTATTTGGAGAAACTTACCATCTGCATGGTGGTGATGTATTTCTTCCACCACAAATACTTCTGCCAGCGAGGGCCAAGAGCTGCCAAAAGGTAATATGTGTACATAATTATATGTACAAATGAGTTAATAACACCGATGAAGGTGCCGTGTCCTCCTGGGTAGTACTTGGTGCAGCCCCAAGAGATCATTGGCATCACGGTGTGGTGATACAAATGCAGGAAGGACACTTGCTTTTCCTTCTTTCGCAGCACAAAGAAGACCTGCGGATATTTCGAAACGAATGTAAATAATTGCAGTTGAAAGTATAACTTTTAATATCAGGTACAATGGAAAATAAGTTTGAACATTAACAAACGCATGAAGCAAATATTGATTAGGGAGAGAATGAATTGGCACCGGATGATGATTAATTTCAGAAATGGAGCTATTGATGACAGGGATGAACTGCAGATTAATGGTTCCAATGATATGAAAAATAATTCATAAGTGGAACTAGAACTTGAAGCTGGCCGACCAGTGAGAAAATCAAGTTCTCTAACGATGTGATGAGTTGATGACAAATTTCTTACATGGTGAGTTGCTTCACTTTGGGAACTCGCTTTACTCCTTGACAAGATTTCAGGTATTATATTATTCACATCTCGAAATCAATGCTTTATCATCAGTTACGAAATATTATTAGTTTACCAAAGGAGAAGCAATATATTCCAAGTACTTACCGTGTCCAGTAACTCTGTCAGTTTCGCAATAAAATACACGTAGACTCCTCGCGCCACCTGCAAACCAGATATTACGTTCACAAGTTTCTTCAGATAGATACAGGAATGATATTTTATTATGATGGTTGATATGTGCTATGCTACCTTCAGAGCCTAGGGGTGGCAGGAAACTTACGCCATTGTGTTATCCCCTTTCATAGTCAGCAAATCACAGAAGCGTATTTGCTTTCCCCTTTACGATGAATGGAATGGTCATCAAGGGGCATTGTGAGGAGTGAATGATTATGTACGTCATGATGTTTACGGTAAGGGACGCGAATCATTTCACAACCTCAATCTCGTGGCGAAAACACCCATGCTTTACACATAATTCAAACCTGAAGCCTTCAGTTCCTTGTATTTGGACACTGCACCAAGACCCTGGTCCAGCGAGGACGGCATAAATGTTATAATGCATGATAAGGTTTACCGCGTATCTCCTTTTCATTCCCTAATATCAGGCTTTCTCGGGAACAGTTGATTTTGCTCTGTCCGGGACAAGTGAGCAGTGCACAATGCAAGGGGTGAAAGAAACATTCCTTTCTTAAAAAGTAGTATTTTCCCCACTCTTTTTGAACTGTATGCTGGCACTCCAAAAAGGCTCAAGCCTAACTATGAGTACTACACTTTACTGGAACAACATGTGAATAATTGAATTTATTATATGACACAGTATAAGAGATACTCATCGTTTAGGGCTACGGAAACAGTGTATCGTGGACAAAACTCTTCTTGCAAATGCCGAGGATCTTGCCTACTTCATGACATGACCTCGGAATTGAAAACATGTTATCCATAGCAGCGACTAAAACTTGAGTACCACAAGAGTAACACTGCGGTTAGTATAGGACATAGCATTATCGTAAATTCTTTCGTGCGGGATGAAAATGATGTAGAACTTCTCAAATGGTTTATCACAATTACTTACCCTCATCGCATGGGGATTCCTTGAAAAGTCAACAGGTTCACACCGCCAGCTGTACTTTGTGAGCCACGCTCCCGTCATTCCCTGAAACCAATCGGCAGACACCACCGAATTAATTAAAAATGCTCACGTACAATGTTTGAAATTAAATTGACATTTGGAATTTTTTGTCTTATTTTTCTTTTTTGTTTTTAATTAAGAGGTGAGTACTAGAGAAAGTCAATGTAACAATATTTTGTTTCTAGACTTCAAAAATAAAGCGAATATATGTTTTTTAATACTAATTATATACCAGTTATATTCGATAAACTATTCACCGTAAACAGATCAAATCTACATAAACAATATTTTCTTAATCACTTTATTTTTGTATTGACAACCAATTATGTTATTCGTCAACAGGTTAACTAATAAATTTAGTTTAATTTCTATGTAAAGTGCTACGAAGTTAAATATTAACAAACTACTTTAAAGGATTCAATATTACAGTGTATCTTCGAGATACAAACTAATTATATTTCATTAATAAACCTTTCTATTAAAATAGAATTGAATAAAAATTGGAAACCAGTATTAAAAATGCATAGGTACTACCATTTGTCTGTTTCTTAATTACACTGTCTTGACTCTTTTTGACTGCCTTATTATTCTTATTGAAACTTCCATTAACGTTATCAGCAGACAGGCTTTGATACAAGGGAATGTGAGATCGCAGGAGGAAATGGAGGGTGACAGGCTCCTTACAATAGATAAACTGGAGGAAAGAAAGCAATTATATAACAAGCAAGACCTGTTCGAGCATCGCATTCATTGGCTCAGTTGGAAGGAAAAGGTTATCGAATAGACTACACATTAATTTTCGGCTGAAGTGAAAGTGAAACAACTTTAGAAATAATTTCACACCTTCCTATGACACATGAAAGATCGACGATCATACGGGCCTTGTAAGTCGGATCTCATCAATGGAAAATACTGTTCGTTCGACAGACGCGATCCAAGAGCGTGTATCGGTTTCCAAACGAGAGTCGGTGGATTATTCTAAATACTTGTAGCAGACACTCAAAGTTTCGATTTCGGTGCGGATGAATTATCGCCACGTGGTTTCTCACGAAACTGTCCACACGGATCGCTCAGGAAGCGGGAGGAAGGAGGAAGGATTTATTGCCGACACGACGTCTGGAACAATGGCGGCAAGTCGTGGCGGAATTGGTCGGTGGCGGTCGCTGGAAAATGACGCGGCGGAACGAGGATGCATCGGACGCAACGTCTCTCGGCCACGAACTTTCGCTGCTCGGGAGAAAGCAAAGACGGCAGCCGGGGCTTCCGACGGCCCTGCCCGCCTCGCTCGGAAAGCATTGGAATAAAACCACCCATGAATAATAATGACAATAATAATAGTAATAATAATAATAATAATAATGATAATAATAATGATAATAATAATAATAATAATCATAATAATGATAATGATAATAATAATAATAAATAGAATAATTTCAATATAATACAGATAGAATAACGAAATAATAATAATACAAATCAATAATAATAATAATAATAATCTGCAATAACAGCCACTGGTCGTGATACAAACATCTCTGCAGATCGCTGGAAGGGAACTCTGCTGGAGGAAGAGCACTTAATTCATCGCCTCCAGAAGTCTGTTTATAATCAGCACAGCTGCCTCACTAGTCAGGGGATTCATGGGAGGACATGTTGGGCTTTTGAAGCATCTCATTCTTGAAATTGTATTTGTTATTAGCATTTGAAACTGTTATTTTATCTTTACAATCTGAAACATAATTTATGTTATGTGTTTAGAAATAGACTTATTTGTTTTGTAATGTTAAATATGTGTGTGTTACCATGCTTTGATATTGTATCTGTGTGGTATCCATGTGAAACCAAAAGCTTTGAGAATAAAATAATAATAATAATAATAATAATAATAATAATAATAATATTTTGTTGATTTTTGCATAAACTATGTGATGGTGTTTTTGCAGTCGTTCTCGTCTAAACTTTAATACTTTTCAATGTAATATCTTGGTACTAAGTGACTGCAGATATTTGTAATTCATATTTTTAACTTTCTTTCTTACAAATCATGCCAATGAAAATTCGGAATTAAAAGCAATATGGAGGCACATTTTCCACAAGTTAGAAATAAAATTGTTACCATTCCCGTCACCTTGTTGGACGCAATTATGCAATATTATTATTTGAACAAATTTAATTAATAGTTAGAAAATTAGAAGAAATGAAATATTTATTCGTATTTTAATAATAATAATAATAATAATAATAATAGTCATCGTAAGAATGTTGATGATAAAAACCAAGGAGGCAGAGAAACGTCCTAAGTACGAGCAGTTTGGAAATCGAGATCGAAAAAAGCACAGGTCATCCTAATTGATATCAGAGATCTGATCGACAAAATTAAGAGTAAGAACTTGGCTGAACTCCCAGGTCATTCAAAAGACTGGGATGTGCAAGACACTGATTGGTTTGGAACACCTCACATTTTGCCCAAAGTGTTGTAGAGATACCGCCAACGAGTTTCATTCTGAGTTCCAATACTTTTGACAAAACTACGAAAATATTCTCGGGTTTCACTTTGTGATTTTACAATATATTATAATTTTATTTACATTAAATAATTATTTTAAAATATTAAGTTTGGTAATTAATATGTATTGCACGGATTATATTAACGGTTAGTATAATAATTATTGTATTATTTTAAAGAAAATATTTTTTGGGTAAAATATAAGATACTGTACACGAAAAGGTGTAAATTGACACAAGTAATTTATTTACACTATACCCAACATACTTCTCATTGAATTCACTGAATTTGAAATGTATCGTGTACCAAAGAGGAAATTCAAAACTTTTTTAGTTATTTAAGGTTGCATCAACATCTTGGTTATTGGCGACCACTATTGGATTTACCGTTATGGTAACTATGAAGGTGTCATGATATGCTGATGATAGGGAGTGAAAGGACAAACACAAATACAACCATGCCTGAAGTGGGACTCGATACCGCGATCCTTCAGTTCGAGATCGCTACGGCACTACTGTCTTAAAGGTCTCCGCCATCCAGTCGACTCCATACTGTTAATTAGCACCAACAAACTAGTTCTAGGAATGTGTTTGTTCCTACGTCATAGACTCACAAGCCTCTTTCTTTTACCAGTTCTCAGACTATTAACAGCAAGTAATGATGGATTCTCACTCCCTGTTAAGCAGTTAATTTCTCCACTAACGCTCATCGTCATGGTTTTGTTCAAGTAAATGAAAGTTTTCTGTGCCCAAGGCATTATCAATCTATCCCTCCCGCCTAAGCAACATATTCCCATTTAACATTTTCTCCAATATCTCTCCGACATTTGTTAGAACATTTCTTGAATTTACCTGTCTCACCCATCGTATTTCTTTTTAAACCCTGTCATTAACCTCTAACGAATGTTTCAAGAATTTTCCTCGCAATAACCTTAGTTGAAGGTATCATATAATGAAATCATCAGGAAGGTGACAAGAAGTTACCCTATTCACACTTCGCTGATGCAGTTACTCGGTCGATCAACTGAAGAGCCTTCCGGCTGAACGTTGTACTGCCTGTCAATGTAAAATAAAATGTAATAAAAAAATCACTAACTCCTTGGAGCGAATCACCATTGCGGTCGCCACCGCCGCAGATCTCCTTCCCCTTCCCCTCCCCCTTCTGGTTCCACCTCCGTCGCTTTTTTGTCTAGCCGGGACTGTTGCCTTCAACGTCCGTGACCGTGGTTGAGGAACGCCTTGCGTAGTGGCAACCGTGATACTGAGATGAGAAGAGATTCTAATACGCAGTCAAATCTGAATTAGTGGGAAACTTTTATTAATGAGGCTAATTATGGAAATCCCGTCGTTTGTATACGTTTGTATAAAAATCTGTGAGAATGTAAAACCTGTTTAATTGAGAGTACATTTCCACCAACCATTTTCTATGTGGTGGCTAACCAGACGCCTTGCTATTCTTTGTTTTTTTCCGGTATTTTCCGAAATGTTTGATCTTTTCTACACTTTTTCAATTCTAATTAACGTTAAGTTCTGTTATATTTAATTAAAATTAACCGAAAATTATATTGAATTATATAAGGCGGAAAGCGCACGAATGACCCTTAATTCGTATATGCACATTGAAAATATTTAAGCAAAGGTTAAATCCATTCTAAAAATGATAAAAATTAAAAATATACGGTGTATATAACTAATACGAGACATACAAACTCCGTAAGAAACTTAATGTACCAATGTCAGACATTTTAATTTTTTACTTGCAGTTTTCACGGTGTTATAATGTTAATTTGAATAGCCCGCACTGCAGTAAGAAACGCAATATTAAATCCTTTCCTTGTAGCTTTCTTCTCGTTCTTTCACCCGTCAGCTGTTTTCAGTGGCCGTGACTTCCAAAGGCAGGGTCAGTCTACACCTGCAGCGTTTCTCCGCCGTATTACACGGCCACTTAGGCGAATGTACCAGTCATGGAATAGAAATACGGTAGAGCTTTCGCCCCAGCAGTGTGAACGATCTTTTGGAAACTCTTTAGCACCACGTGTTCCGGGTTTTGGTGTGACAACTTTCCTCATGGAACTAATCTATATTTCTAATTTCCAGTGCCCGCAGAAACTGAAAGAAAACTTTGCAACCTCAAAACCTTCAAAAACCAATGAAAGTTTTATTTTGAATAAAAAACTCCAACATTTGATTGTGTCATTCCGTCTAATCTTACCGACTAAATTCTATACTTTGCTTCTCTGCTTACGACACAGTTGAACAGTCTCCAATAATGAGGCAATCTCGTATCAAATACTTGCTATATATGTGTTGCTTTAGGGAATTGCACATTTTTTAATATTGTTGGTTTAGACAGAACTGTTGTACTGTGACCCGCATATACTGTACCACGTTATTACAGTTCATGAAGGCTGGTTTTGTAAAACATTTAATTTGGTGCAGTGTTATACGAGACTTTTTGTTGTTGTTTTTCTTCAGCAGTGTGCGTGCTAATTTTCGGAAAACCATTTTGTCAGGGTTTACTCAGCAGCATTTTTGCTGCCGCATGCCACAAGTTAAAGACATCAATCAGGAATTAAGTCAATATAAGTTTAATAATTATATAATTCTACTTATTTGACACTAGCTGGGGTTTCTGCCGATTCTCGAATATTTATTTATCACAACAAGTCAGAAAAAGGCACGAATTCTAGCTGTAAAATGAAAATATTTATATTTACACTTACGTACGCTATGTCGCGCGCAGATTGCATTAGATTTACTATTTCGGATTACATACTTAAAAATTAAACTGTATTATCAACGCACTTTGATACGATCACAAAAAAAGATGTGTTCAGATTCTAAATTGTACTATGATTTACATATATTGAATACAAATGTAAAAATAATTGAGCCGCGTAAAAAGAGTTTGTCACAATTACCTTCATTCTTATTCAAATATAGGTTTTTCGAATTTTATTTAATAATTAATAGAAATTTTATTTTTATTTGTTAACTGTAAAATATAAGATATTGTGAGTGTAAACATGAATATTTGCATATTTCATATGTGTTGTTATTCGTATAAAAGGCATATGAGCAGCCAATTGTTTATACGAGTAATACGGCACATTACATAATTATTGAGCTTGGAGTGAACAGAAAACTAAATTAAATTTATGAGTCATTTTAGCTTCCTCTCGTAAGTCAGAATTTGGAGCTGGACTTTTCTGCGCTCAAATATTTTTTGGTGCTTTTCCTCCTAAATTACTTAAAATAATCGGTTTTCGGTCTCAAGTCCTTCAGCAGGTAATCGTTTGATATGCCTTGAGAACATGAATATTAATGACAGAAACATAAACGAAACAATGGTAAGGCATCGAACACCGTTTATTTTTATAAAAGTCCATATCTGCCTAGCATATTGCGTTATTCTCTCGATATTTACTGAGATACAATGAGATACATTTTTTTGAAAACGTAATTTTAGCGACAGATACTTAAGATTTTAGCATAAAATACTTTAGATTCCTTTGAAAATTTTTTAGTCTATTTATTCTGCATTATTCTTAAAGTAATATATTTTTCTCCTCTGATTAATTTTACTCTGGGAAGAACGGATTAATAATAAAATGTTATGATTAAACGTTCTATCACAATAGTTCTCCTTAACATCATCATCATCATCATGTACTTGCTGACAAGTTTGTTTCATATGGGTTAAGTAAACCACCAAAAAATACCTCTGACCCACACATTTAGATTATGTGCCTCAAAAGGTTAACAATTTGCGTTAGTTATCCTGAAATACCCACATATTGTATAAACATTATTTTAGAAAGTAACGTATGATTAAACAAGTTCTTCCGTATGGGAAAATAATTACGTTTACCTTACGTATCACAACACGCATATACATACTGCCAAAATGTCACAAATAACACTCCAAAGATTCCAAAATATCACTTATAAAACACTAGATACATTTAATTGAATGGATGTGTTATCAATACAATAATTTGTTAAAATATCGTAAAACTACTTCCCTTTCGACGTTTGCGCTGCCACATTTCGACATAATACGAATCGCTAGTAACTTTGTTGTTGTTTTCTCAGGCATTCTTTTATCGTCTGGCAATCGTGGCTAAACATTAAAACTGTCGCACGACTAGAGCAGCGCAAGTTCTGTGCAGGAAAGTCGATCAACGCAGGGAGAAATAATTCCGACGCGTCTTGCGGTTCGGTGGTGTTTTGTTGGGAGCAAAGAGAGAAGGAAGGCGAGAAAAAGTCGTTCGCCGGGGAGTCGCCTCTCAAGACTGCGGAGACCCACGGAGAAGTTACAAAGACCACTATCCTTTTCAGATGCGATTGAATATTCACGAATCTGAACTTTTAACACAACCGCATTTGGCTGCAATTAACATAAATACACAATCCATTGGAATTTTTATCATGCTATTTGCTATGAATATTTCACCTACGGAGGATGGTAATTGCAATTAATTGTCAAGAAGTATGGAGCAGTTCGTAAGTTTTAAGCAGTAGAGGCAAGTCATTTTCATTCAATTTTACATTCTAAAAAATTACTGCACGTAAAGAGAGAAAACTTAGTGTTTGTACTAACTTACGATGTAACACACTATCGTAGTACTAAAATGCTGAATAATTCGAATTTAAGCTTAGGCGAGTTTGGTCGGAAACATGAGAGAGAGAGTGCAGAAAAACAAACAAACGAAAACGCGTAAAACCTATATTTAAATTACATTTCGAGGACAGTAAACCCTTATTAACACAAATTCAAGGGTCTGAAAGAATCGCTGTGAATGCTATAAAAATTGTATTATCTGATTAGTGTATATACATATCCATGGAACTGTGTTTACTTGTTCCGAACCAAATTTTGGTCATGTTACGGTAATGTAAATTCGTGTTCGAAAAACATGCTATCGAAAGTTCCCGATTGTACAATGTAATTCATTAGCATGCAGCTTAATTTTCGATATGACAAGTTTCTGTTTCCTTTTAAAAATTCACATTTACTTGTACATAGTTTTTGAATCTAAGATTGATAGGCCTCTTAACTTTGTCTCTATTATTGGAGTAAAAAATGTTGAATATCTTGTTGGTATATCTTATTAATCATGAACAGCTTACTAATCTTAACAATAATTATACACGCTCTGTTGCTCCAGAAAATGACGTATGCACTTTCTTTAGAATTCTCTCGAAAACGAAAGTTTTGTTATGAAACCGCAAGGAAATGCAGCTTCGTGAGACATTTCCACACTCGAACGGGTCCGTCAAGAAACATATCATTACTTTCAAGAAATGTATTATATACTCGTGCGCGTGAGTACGTTGCGTAATTTCACTTTCAACTACACCCAGAAAGAAGCTCAAAGAGGATGTTATTAACGAATGTTAGTTAACAGCTATTAAAAATACCCATATTTCAAGTATTTAACAAGTAATTGATTATTCCAGAAACTTTACATTCCGATTTTTGTGTTGTTTGTAATAGATAAACACTAAAATATTTTTAAAAAGAACAGCGCGAGCGACTTTAATGCACATTTAATTTTAGTGTATCTTACACACTCTAGATGGAGTTTTGAGTGATAAAACATCACCACAGCGTGTACTTGGAAACTTGGGTGTGAAGAATTCCATAGCGTATATACGTACCTCATAGAAGAGCCAGGTGCTGACACACACTTGTATAAAGTTATAGAAGAGTAAGATGGTGCTGAGGTCGAATGGCTTCCTATCTTTCATGAAACGCGGGCCCCAGGAGCGCACGAAGTAGTGGTACGTAATGATGATGGTGAGGCCGGGAACTGGCGATGCGATAAGCGGCCAGTCATTGGTGCGAGGGTCTGTGAACAGAAGTACAAGGACTGTGTAGTTCTCTTCCAACTGTAGGTACAATCGGATAAACCAGTTTATAGCAATACGTAAACAATGTTAACAAATAAATTAAAAAGCAATATTGTTAACAATAAATTATTTATGATGGCATTGGGAATAAAGGCTTCAGATGCAACATAATCTTACCTCCTTCAAATACACGAAAAAATCTGCGTTCGTAAATGAGAAGTGTTATGAAGGTCTATTAAAAAAATTAGATACAAAGACACATCGAGAAGTCGAATCTAGATGGAATCTGAATAGAGAGAAATAAATAAAAACAGATTTTATCTATCGTCTCTCAGAAGCATGGTGCTCTATGCAAGATGCTATAATTAATTTTTAATTTGACGTTTATATCACAACTCAAAATTACTCAAATCTACTTATATTAAAAGAATGTGTATATGAAATGATAGATCTACATCTATTATTGAGGAATTGATAGATGTACGAAATGAATCCTTGGCTTCAGTATTAACGGTGTTTTTATAGTAACAGAATTATAAACGAGCTTTTTTGTTGCACGAAACAGTTCATAAAATAGAATTGTCTGGCACAGATTGTGATAAAGCGAGCGAATAGCGGGATGGTGGCAGTGGTGAACTGTTCAGCGAGTTTTCATTGTAATACCGACGTCCAAGTGCACACTACAAAAATATACTTATGAAATATATTTCAAAAAATAACTTCGCTCTTTGTATACATTTACTATGCTGCTACTAAAAAAAGCGCACGCAATTTGTTTGTGACGGTGGTTTTGTACAAATTTGTAAATTTGCTCCTATCGTCGCTGTTTTTCAAAACAAGTACTTATGAAATAAAACGTAACTTAATAAACTAAATGCATAATATACTACAGAAAGACTTAACTTTTGAATTATCAAATTCCAGAGGATTTAATGGAAATCGAACCTATTTTCTCAAATCTTATATTTGGAAGGCCAACAACAACTAATAAATTACTCAGTATTAAGCAAACTTTGATCTGTTCGAGCAAAAATATGGAGCTCTTTTTGAGAAAAATACTGAAATTATACTTCCGAAATACTGAAATCCGAAGAACTTCATGTAAAGAATTCTCCTAAATTAAAACATAGGTTTCAATATCGCAGACCAAAATTCGGCCACAACGATGGGGGACTGCGCGTTTCGGAAAAAGAAAACTGTAGTATTTATGCGCTAGAGTTGTTTATGACAGGTCACAGACGGCTTAAAAATGGTTTAGGTCCAACTTTCAGTGCTCTCAAATTTCTAAAATTTCTGAAGTTATAAATTTGTTCAACCTCCTCTCACAGCTACAATATTGAAAATGGATTTTTTTCTTACACATGTTCTTCAAATTCTATTTCAGTAGTCTATTACAAGTTTTTGAAGATACGAATATTTTTCTGCAATTTGGGAAAGAGGAAGGGAAACTGAACCATTAAAAATAAATTTAAAGAAAACTTATTCAAAAATGTCTTCATTTAAAAAAATAAACAGAGTTATGGATCGAATTTTCATTACGAAGTTCAATTTTTTGGACACTTTGCTACAATAACATTACTGATACTAAATTATATATTCTTGAATGTTAGATTTTTAAATGATGCACATTAAAAAATTAGAGTAGTTTTTACTTCATTTTGGATTAAACCGTAAAAATTTTTCAAAAATCTGTAAACAAAATTTTCTCAAAAATGGCTTACCTTTTTTTAAACATTTTACATAATATATACAAAAGTATTTTTGTTAAGTGTAATTTTCATTATATGTTTTTAATTTAAAGAAATTAAAGATATGGACATTATTTTTTTCTCGGCATCTAACATGTAGAAAAATCTGGAGAGTCAACGGTTAACGTGATGGCTTCATCACTTGCTTCAGGTTCACAAATTGAAATACCAGCTCTGGAAAAAATATTTTGGGGTCTGGGAACACGGGTGGGGTCATTTATTAGATCAATGAGACAACTGCAAATGAAGTACGTCATCACTGGAAGCGATGTAACACGCAATTAAGTTCAAATGTGTGAAATGTTCCCACGGGTTTTGCTAGTGTTGCAGTTACGTAAGTGTCGCAAATACGAACACTAGACAATACGTTCTGTTGAAGCACCACTATCCTTGGTACTCTTTTTATATGCTACCGCAGTTTATATAGTGGGGACGGGTACCAGCTTTGCCAGTTTTTGTTAGCTATGGATTAATGCAAGTACTACATAATATCCTCTCGAAAATGGAAATTAATTTTGCAAGAAACACAATATTAAGAACGCACAGTAAATATTATAAAGTTATCTGAGTGCAAACGTTATAAACCACCAAACAATATTTTTATTATTAGCAGCAAGCAATTTTATTTGAATTGAACGTTTAACTTTCAAAAGGTCTTTTGAATGCCCGTATTAAAACAGACAAGGCAGATATCGGTAAAAGATTACAGAAATCAGATTATAAAAGCAGAGGAGACCATCCTTGGAAAATACGATGTAGAAGCAAAGAACTGATGTAGGCAAGTTCTCCTTTGTGAATCGCACTAAAGTAGATTGGAATAAACTACCTGCAGAAGCACTAGAGCTCTTCCTTCCAATGTAGCCAAATTTAAAAATATGCTTCATTCCATCTAGAGCATCTGAAAATACTGACTGAGACATTTATCTTTATTATTATTGTTATTATTATTATTATTTATTATTATTATTATTTAGTCATAATTATTATCGTCATGGCCTTATACAGTGAAGTGATGTGAGTGTAGTGTAGTGTAGTGGGGGAAGGGAGTGTAGGGTAGTGAAGGGGAGTGCAGTGCAGTGTAGTGTAGTGTTGTGTAGTGTAGGAAAGTGTTATGTAAACTAGAAGTGAATTTAGAGTTAGCTAGAAAAATTGAAAACTATTATATCGACCCCCTAATTCTAATAGTAAACCCAATTGTAATTGTTTAAAATGTTTAGTGAATTCTAATTCTATTCTATCATGTTTGCCACCGAGCATTAGCTCAAAGCGAACTTTAATAAATCTATCTATCTATCTAACTTATTTTTAGTTTCTGGTTGTTTGAAGTTTCTAGACATTTTATTTGCTCGGCCCAGTTCGAGGGAGAGTGCAGTGTGGTGCAGCGAGCGGGTCGGTGCCTAAGGAGGCACCATGCACACGTGGTCGCCGGAGACCGAGAGGCAACCGCCCCTTGACCCACATGCGCGCACACATCAGCGGCTGCCGATTGAGCCCCCGCGGCAGCCACCCCCTGCCCCCTTGACCCCCCCTCTCCGAGCGACGACGCCTGCGTAACCTGCAGCTGCACCCGACGACACTAGCGCCTCCTATCGTAGTAGCCTCCAGTTTGTTCCCGGTTTTGATGGGGAGAGTTGCAGACTGTTGCTTACGTGCCCGATGACCCGAGCACCTCCAGCGGCGGAGGAGGCGTCGTCGCTCAGAGGGGGGGTCAAGGGGCAGGGGTGGCTGCCCGCGGGGCTCAATCGGGCAGCCGCTGATGTGTGCCGCATGGGTCAAGGGCGGTTGCCTCTCGGTGCTCCGGCGACCACGTGTGCAGGTGCCTCCTTAGGCACCGACCCGCTCGCTGCACCACACTGCACTCTCCTCGAACTGTGCCGAGCAAATTAAAATGTCTAGAAACTTCAAAACAACCAGAACTAAAAATAAGTTAGATAGATAGATAGTTTATTAAAGTTCGCCTTTGAGCTAATGCTCGGTGGCAAACATGATAACAATTAAAATTAGAATTACTAAACATTTTAAACAATTACAATTGGGTTTACTATTAGAATTAGGGGGTCGATAATAGTTTTCAATTTTTCTAGCTAACTCTAAATTCACTTCTAGTTTACATAACACTTTCCTACACTACACAACACTACACTACACTGCACTGCACTCCCCTTCACTACCCTACACTCCCTTCCCCCACTACACTACACTACACTCACATCACTTCACTGTATAAGGCCATGACGATAATAATTATGACTAATAATAATAATAATAAATAATAATAATAATAACAATAATAATAAAGTAAATGTCTCAGTCAGTATTTTCAGCATGCTCTAGATGGAATGAAGCATATTTTAAATTTGGCTACATTGGAAGGAAGAGCTCTAGTGCTTCTGCAGGTAGTTTATTCCAATCTACTTTAGTGCGATTCACAAAGAGAACTTGCCTACAATCAGTTCTTTGCTTTCTACATCGTATTTTCCAAGATGGTCTCCTCTGCTTTTATAATCTGATTTCTGTAATCTTTTACCGATATCTGCCTTGTCTGTTTTAATACGGGCATCAAAAGACCTTTGAAAGTTAAACGTTCAATTCAAATAAAATTCTTGCTGCTAATAACAAATATATTGTTGGTGGTTCATATAACGTTTGCACTCAGATAACTTTATAATGCTTACTGGCGTTCTTAATATTGTGTTTCTTGCAAAATTAATTTTTCCATTTTCGAGAGGATATTGTGTAGTACTTGCATTAATCCATAACTAACAAAAAAACTGGCAAAGCTGGTACCCGTCCCCACTATATAAACTGCGTAGCATTATAAAAAGAGTACCAGGATAGTGGTCGCTCAACAGAACGTATTGTCTAGTGTCGTATTTGCGACACTTACGTAAACTGCAACACTAGCAAAAACCCGTGGAACATTTCACACATTTGAACTTAATTGCGTGTTACATCGCTTCCAGTGATGAACGTACTTCATTTGGCAGTTGTCTCATGATCTAATAAATGGCCCCACCCGTGTTCCAGACCCAAAATATTTTTTCCAGAGCTTGTATTTCAATTTGTGAACCTGAAGCAAGTGATGAAGCCATCACGTTAACCGTTGACTTCTCCAGATTTTTCTACATGTTAGATGCGAGAAAAAAATAATGTCCATATCTTTAATTCTTTTAAATTAAAAACTATAATGGAAAATTACACTTAACAAAAATACTTTGTATATTATGTCAAAAATGTTTAAAAAAAGGTAA